GTCTAATGTTCAACTAATCGGGGATCCCTTTAAAACTGAGACCTGCCAGGCTGTGAGTTAAGAAATGATAATTTTATTCCTCTGTGTCACAGTTTGTCTTTTCTTTCAGTACATGTGTGGYTTTGGGAACGAGTTCTCCTCTGAAGACCCCAGATGTCCTGGATCCTTACCTGAGGGGCAGGTAGCACAAACAAAAACAACACTTTGTTCCTCGCTTCAGATCAAACTGTCAAAAAAACAAAAACAAAACACAGTTTATTTGTTGTACCCGTACAGAACAACCCTCAGGTCTGTCCATACGGCCTCTACGCCGAGCAGCTCTCTGGCTCTGCCTTCACCTGCCCACGTCCAGCCAATAAGAGGAGGTTTGAGACATCTACCTAACAAACAAACAAACAAACAAACAAACAAACAAACAAACAAACAAACAAACAAACAAACAAACAAATTGTCTCTTTTTATCCCTGAACTCTTTATTCTCTGCAGCTGGTTGTACCGAATTCTCCCATCCGTGAAACACAAGCCTTTTACGCCTGTGCCGTGTGGCGATCTGACCGAGAGCTGGGATGAAGTGGAGCCCGATCCCAACCAGGTATGATGCACCCCCATACCAWCAGAGAGGCAGGCCTTTTGAGCTGCGCAACGATAACAGGCGAGATGGATGAAAACGATAAATGCAACAATYAATTCCGAGTAAGTAGCTCCTGATTTTGTTCGCACCAACAGCTGCGATGGCTGCCGTTCACCATCCCCAAATCCACGGAGAAGAAAGTGGACTTTGTGGCTGTGAGTGACACCTCGTCTCTTTTAACCATATCTTTGCTGTTTATTGGTGAACGCTGCATTTTTTTTCCCTCCTTCGTTTTCCAGGGTCTTCACACCGTCTGTGGAGCGGGAGAAGCCAGGTGTCGTAGCGGCATTGTGGTCCATGTGTACACCTGCAACACCTCGATGACTGACAGGTGAATGTGCTCAAACAAATGAATGCATTTTCTTTAATTATCAGTGTAAAATCTTGGGTAGTGCTTAAATGACTTTAATTGTTACTTTTTTTGCCACTTCAGGTGCTTCAACAACTCAGATGGAGACTTCCTGATCGGTGAGAGTGAGAGAGTTGTTAATATTTATCAGAACCTGCTTCAGATTTTCTCATTTTATTTCATTTGTTTGTTTGTTTGTGCAGTTCCACAGCAGGGTGAGATCTTGGTCACCACAGAGTTTGGGAAGATGATGGTGGAGCCGAACGAGATCTGTGTCATCCAGGTGTGTTTCTGTTTCTACCCCCCCTCACTCCTCTAACCATATTTATAAAGCCGTGGTTTGGSACTTTTCAGACATGACCTTGAAAGTAGATAATAGTGGAAAGAGGTTTGGAGTTACAGAGTCTGAGCATCAGGACTGTGACTGCATGTGTGTGTTTTTTCAGATGATTAGTCCCCTAAGCACCGATACAGCCCACATTTGCTGCATAACAGCACTAAATTYTCCTCTAACTGCCACTTTTCTTGTTTTTATTTTTGCAGCAAGGGATGCGCTTCAGCGTGGATGTGTTCGGAGAAACCAGAGGCTACGTTCTGGAAGTGTATGGAGCCCATTTCGAGCTGCCTGACCTGGGGCCTATAGGTTTGTGTTTGTAAGGACGGATGAAAACACGTTCATCCTTCAAAAACTACAACAGCCRCACAACAACCACTTTGCTTCTGTTTCCAGCCAAACGCTATTGTTGTCTGAATTGTTGACACTTATCTCTGAAAATCTGTGGGATTTTTTAGCCATGCTAACCGGATTTATCGGACAATTTGGCTCTCGTCAGTCATGGCTTCATCGGAAAGTATCGCAAGTAAAATTTGAGATTGTTGTAAATTGCCTTCTGCTGCCGTCAAGTACTTTTATTTACCTGAAGCGTCTGGTTCAAAACAAAAATGTTTCCAAAACTAAAAGTCACATTTCTCAGCTGTGTTTTGCATAAAGCCAAACTTAATAAAAATAAATAAAAGCTAAATCTAGCTCAAATATAGCTAAACAAAAGTGTAGCTAAAAACTATCCATCCATCCATTTTCTTCCACCTATCCGGGGTCGGGTCGCGGGGGCAGCAGCTTCAGAAGGG